CTTAGGCCTTCTTGCGGCTGTCTTGGGCCATCTTGGGGCCCTCTTAGCAGTATGGGGGGGGCCTTGTGGCCGTCGTGGAGCTGTCTCCGTCTTGGGCTGTGGAAGGGCCTTTCTAAGGCCGTCCTGTGTCTTTCCGGAGGCCTTCTTGGGCCGTCTTAGAGCCGTTTTGATGGCCTTTTGGGCCATCCTGAGGTCCTCCAGGGCCGTCTTGGGGTCTCTTTTGGGCCGGCTTTGGGCCATCTCGGGGACTTCTTAGGTCTTCTTGGAGGGATCTGGGGCCGTCTTGAGGCCATCTTGGGCCGCCTTTGGGCCATCTTGATCGTACTTGGAGGCCTTCATTGCCTGCCTCGGCCGTCTTGGAAGCTTCGGGGCTCGGATCCGTCCTTTCTCATAGAGGATCGTGGTCTCGGGAGCGTGGGCCCATGTGCTTTTGCAAAGGATCGTTGCCTCGGTGGGGTGGGCGGTGCATGCACCTGGATGCCAGTAGATGCAGGGGGATCCTTTAGGATATGTCAGAAATCATACCAGACAGTCCTTGGCATGCTCCCACGCCTCACCGTGCAAGGATGCACGGTGACGGAATACGTATTGTGGAAGACCGGTTTGGTGTCGCTCTGTATTCGCAGGAAGAGATACTGCAAGCAAAGACTCAGCCAGCAGCTTCGAACGGGAAGCGCGCCCGCCTGGCATGATCCGTAGAAGACGTCGACGATGTCGAAGGCCTTTTACCCCTTTGGAGGATGGCAGACAGGCCGAGAGCTCACGTAGTGGTAGACACGCGGTCGCGACGGCGGGAGTTTTCCGGCGGCCCCTGCGGGCAGCGCGTGCCGAAGAAGTCGCGCCGCGGGCCCCCCTCTCCTCGGCTCCAGAGCGAGCGCCCCTGTGCCGCGGGGCCGGGCCCCGGGGCTTCTCGCCCCCTCCCCGGCCCCAAACGACGCCCGAGGGCGCGCCGCCGTGCTGGCCGCGGGCCGAGGCCCCTCCCCCCCCAGAGGGCAGAGCCTCCGGGCCGCGGCCTGCCCCGCCCCGCCCCAGCGCACGCGGGGGCTATGCCCCTCGCGCGCCGCCAGGAGCACGGCCCGCGGGCGCCGAGGGGCCGAGGCTGCCCTCCAAAGGGGCGCCCGAGGTCCGCAGCGCCCGTGAGCAGGCCCGCGTGCCCGAAGAGAGCCCACGGCGGCCGGGCACGCGAGGGGCTCGAGCAGAGCCCTCGAGGAGGAGCGCTTGCCCCCGCCCTGCCGGAGGGGCGCCTCGGCTCCCCGTGCGAGCGTGCTCCAGCCTGCTCGCCTCCTGCCTGCTGTCCCCCCTCCCTTCCCGTGCTGGCCCAGCGCCCGTCGGGCCTGCCTCCGCTGGTGCCGCGGCCGCCGCCTCCGTGGGGGGAGCCTCCGCACCTCGCGCGAGGGGGCCCGCGGCGCGCCGTGCCCCCCGGCCGCGCGCCCCGGCGCCCCGGGGCCCGGGGCCCTCGGCGTCCGCGCCGGGCGCGGTGGCCTCCCCCCCGGTGGGCCTCGGCGCCGTGCGTGGGGCCACCGCCTGCTGGAGAGCGGGCGCGCTGCCCTCGGCCCTCGGCGTCCGCGCCGGGCGCGTGGCCTTTCCCCCCCGGTGGGCCTCGGCGCCGTGCGTGGGGCCACCGCCTGGCGGGAGAGCGGGCGCGCGGCCCCTCGCCACGCCTGCCGCGCGGCCCGTGCCGCTGTCGGTGTGCAGGCCCTCCCGCGGCCCTGCTCCGCCTCCCGTAGGCCGGCGGCGAGCGAGGGGGGGAAGGGAGAAGGAGAAGGCCTTCTCAGAGGGCGCGGGAGTCCCCCGAGGCCTTCCGTGAAGTTTTCTATACCTTCCCCGAAGACAACCCAAACAACTTTTGAGAAGGCGCGAGGGTTTCTGAGGAGTCCCGCCGCCTGCTGAGAAGGCCTTCTCCTTCTCATCTCCCCCGCCCTCGCTCGCCGCCGAGAAGGGGCAGCTCCACTCGTCCCTGCGTGGTCGCGGCCGATTGGGGCGATTGGTGCAGCCAATGGGCGCTGCAGTGGGGGCCACCCTGGTCTCAGGTTTGGGCTGGCCGAGGCTTGCAGTGCACACAGGCAGATGCCTCTTCGTCCCTGGTTCGGCGCTCCCTGGGGCGCTGCGCTGGTTGTACCCAGCTCCCGCTCAGGGAGCCGATGTGGCAGTCGTCCACCTATGGGTCTCCCATAACCCCGAATTATGGGAAACCCACAACGTCGCCGGATTCCCCAGGAGTTCCTGGCGATCCATGGGTTTCCCACAGCTCGCAGGCCTTCGGCCGATCCTCCTGGGCCTCGGGCGGTGGATCTGGACCTGCTCGGCCCCCCCCCTCCCCGGGGGCCCGGCGGCCTGGGGCCCTGGGGCAGCGGCTCCCCCGGGCGGTGGAGGCTACGACTGCACGCGAGGAGTGGCCTCTCGCTGGCGTGGCCCTCTGCTGGGGGCCCAGTGTCCTGGCGCCAGCATCGCAGAGCGTCACCACCCACCAAACCACCCCAACCCAACCCGAAGGCCCAAATTGACCCTGGATTTCCGAGTGCGTGTGACCTAATTCGAGTTTTTTTTTTTTTTTTGTTTTTCAAATTGGGTCGGTGGCTGACCCGGTGACCCGGTGACCCGGTGACCCGGTGACCCGGTGGGGTGGGTCAGCTGACCCGGTGACCCGGTCACCCGCGGTGGAGCGGGTCAGCTGACCCGGTGACCCGGTGACCCGGTGACCCGGTGGGGTGGGTCAGCTGACCCGGTGGGGTGGGTCAGCTGACCCGGTGACCTGGTGACCCGGTGACCCGGTGGGGTGGGTCAGCTGACCCGGTGACCCGGTGACCCAATTAAAAAAAATAACCTCTGGTCCAGAGGCTTCCGGATTTCCAGTTGGGCGGGGGGTCGGGGAACATCGAAAAACACGTGTGGAACCCGTACCCCCCCAACCCGAAACCTGGGTATCCGGGTTCGGTTGGGGTGGTCTGGTAGGTGGTCAGAGCGGATGTCGTTCGGAAAACGACAGGCTGGGGGCCCAGAGTGTCCGGGAGAGTTTCGTTCCGGATTTTGACGTGAAACTCGTGCGGATTTTTTGGGGGGGCCAGGAGTGAAGATTAAAACAAGCCCACGCGGAACACACTTCGTTTTTTTGTACTCGCCGTTCTTGGGTTTTGCATCGGCAGAGATCCACGCAAACATCCGCGGCAGCACGTCTGCAAGGTCGGGGCAGTGCCCAGTGTTGACGAACGGACAACACGCACCCGTACCCATAGGGGGGTCGTTGGGAGGAGGACTGGCTATGGGTATGGGTGCGGGTTGTCGGACCCTGGGGAACGCTCCCGTTCGAGCGGGGACCCCCATCCGACAACACGCACCCATAGCCCTCTCCGATCCCCCTATGGGTATGGGTGTGTGTTGTTGGTTCGTCAAGTGTGGCCCTCCGATCGCCGAACGCGATGTGCGGCAGTGGCGTGCTGCGCTCCTGGCTCCGGTGCCCGCGCGGCGCGGCCCCCATAAAGCCGCGCGCTCCAGAGGCCACTCTCGCCCAGGGTCGCTCGCGCGTGTAGTCTTATGTCGGGCCGTTCCCTCCACAGGAGGGAAATTCAAGAATAGCCCAAAAATAGTATGGGGACTATTTTTGTTTGAAAGTATGTTTGGATTATCCATGTGCACTCTCCAGTATTGTAAGTTTTTGCCCCAAATCCGCCTGTAGGTGAGATTGCCATGCAGTTCCGCGAGCTCCCTTCAGGGCCAACGTCAGAGGGGGATAGAAGCAAAGGGGGGGATGCATCGGCCCCCAATCGCCCATTGATCGCCGATGGGGGCCCGATGGCCCCAAGCTGCCCAGCAGCGTGCGGGTTCACTCTCGGAGGCCTGGCGCCGATCCTGTCGGCGAGGCCTCGCCGCTTGCAGGTCGATGCCTATCCCCCCCCCCTGCGTATCCCCCCCCCCCGTGGCCCCTCAGCCTTCGGTGCAGCCGGACTGGTGTTAAGTCGGGCCTGTCTCCTTACAGGGGGATTTTCGACGAAAAATAGAAAATACCTCCAAAATGGTAAAAAAAACTACTCCCAAATAGGCTGGGGTCTTTTTTTTGAACATTTTCTGGCCTTTCGGGGTATTTTTTGTTTTTTTTGGTTTTTCTTCGACAATCCCCCTGTAGGGGGACACGCTCGACATAAGACTGGTGCTTGCCCTCGCGCTCTTCTCTCCGGCCCGCCGGGCCGAGGTCGGCCCGGCACGGATGGGGGAGCCCCCGGCGGGCGGCGCGGCTCGGGGGAGGGCCTCTCCTCCGTTGCTTCCGGCGGGCGCGCGCTGCCGCGGCCGTGTTAATCATCCCTGCAGCTCCGCAGGCAACCCAGGGCGTCTTCTGGGCGGGGAGTCCGTCTGGAGGCACGTCGCTTGCCCGCGAATGTTTCACGGGCGAGGAACGGTACAAGATAAACTTTTTCGCCGTCGGGGGCGCCTGTCCCGGGGCGGCTGGACAGTTTATATCCTCACGGTGGCACGTCAAGGTAGAAACTTTCCAGCCGCCCTGGGGCAGCGCCCCCAGCGACGGAACAGTTACTTTATACCGTTCTTTGCCCGCTAAAATGTGGGAGGAAGCCCAGACATCCGATGTCGATCAAGTTCGCGAAGCCATGAAGCAGTGACGAGGGGAGGTCTCGACGCCATGCTCATGCAGGCCTCCCCGAGCCAGGGGCCCGAAACGAGGCGAACAGAATCCCTCGTACTTTTTAGTGGCGCCCGGATGTCAGTTCACGACAAAGGCCTTGATGCCGACAACGACCGACGACGACGACCACGACGACGACGACGACGACGACCACGACGACGAACACGACAACGACGACGACGCACACGACGACGCACACGACGACGACAACGACGACGACGACGACGGAGGCGGCGGCGGCGGCGAGGCGGCGGCGGCGGCGAATACGACGACGGCGACGAACACGATGACGACCACGAACAGGACCCTGACGACGAAGACGACGACGACGACGGCGACGACTTCTGGCGGCGTGCGTCTGCGCCAGGCAGCACAACCGCGTCGTTGAGACGACGCCGCCAGACGCGGGCGCCTCGGTGCTGCGCTCCCCTCATCGGCTCCGCCCTCGACCTTTACAATTACACATTATGAATGCCACACTCCCCTCTCCCCTGACTCTTTCCGGAATGCAGCTGGCTCTCTCCGCGTATTGTTGTGGGTGGTTGGCTTTTCGAAGAGGTGCTCCCGCTATAGCGTGGGCCTCATCAATTTTTGGATCGGCGCTTTGCTAAAGTCGTTGAGAATGGCGCTCTCGCCCCAGCGTGGGTCACTTTTCTGGATCCGAATCCCTTTGCATCGTTGTCGCCCCCTCATTTTGCCCTCCGCGGCCTTCCCCTGACCCTCCTGCTCCTCTCGCTCCTTCCGCTCCAGTTCCTGCTGCAGCTGTTTGTCCTCGTCCTCCTCTTTCCCAATTTTCCTCCTCTTCCTCCTCCTGCTCATCCTTCTGCTTACCCGTCACCTCCTCCTAGGTACGCAGCTCCCCTTTTTCCGGTTGCGCATAACACGACGTGGTCGTTTTATTAGACTTCCAGGTCGGCCATGATACGCGTCCGCGGATCGATTAAACAACACGGCGCGATGGGAAGGGATGGGAGGGAGGGATAGGACGACAGATGTGACGCGAGCGCACTAGCTTGTCCACCCCCCTCTTCCCTCTCTACCTCCTCCTCCTCCTCCTCCTCCTCCTCCTCCTCCTCCTCCTCCTCCTCCTCCTCCTCCTCCTCCCCTTGGCGGGGCGTCCGTTACCCCATCTGCCCCCCTTCTCCCCCCCGTGACGGTCACGATCTCACGGGGGCTTCGGAAAGGGGTGGGGCGGGGGCACCCTCCTCGCGCCTACAGACGCACGGCTCTCGCTGGCCGATCCTGTGGCCACGCGCAGGAAAGGACTGTGACTCGCGCAGGCGTACTGTGGTGCCCGCAGGCAGGATGCGGCGGTGCCCTCTGGACCTTTGTGCTATGTGGGCCGTCGTCTTCCTCCCCCCTCCTGCATGGTGGCAAATTTCGCTTAACGGGAGCTCGGTTTCGCTTCCTCGCCAGCGCAGTGGCTCTGCTTACTCCGCCGACGTAAAAAGTGTTATGTTGGCCCTCGTGACGCTTTGGTGTTCGTAGGCGTGTCGCTGGTGCCCGCAGGCATGGTGTGGCGCTTGCAATATGCCGCGGCATTGCTGCGATGTGGTGCTCGCAAGCCATTGCGGAACTGACTTGTTTCATCGTTGGAGTCAAGTATTCGTGGCCTGGTCGCTGCCGCGGCGAGGGCTGGTGGATGTGGTTGCCTTTCTTTCCGCGCAGTGCGGTCCAGCAGCAGAGGAAAATGAAGGACGGAGACAAGAAGAACGCGCCAGCAGTAGTTTCGACCTCCCCCCGAGCCTACAGGCGTGAGAACAATTACCAAAAACGTGCACGTGCCCGACGCATCTCTCTTTAGCGCCCACACGCGCTGAAACACACGCGACATGTACACGTGCCAGACGCATGTTCGACACCCCCTTCTCCTCGCACATATCTGCACGTCTGAAGAAGCCGCCGGCGCTTCTAGGTTACTTCCTGGTCGACTGGGCCAACCACCGCAAAGTGGGTAACTCCCCGGCGGCGCCGGGAGTTGGCCCAATTCGCCGCCGAATCTTTTACGAATGTTCGAACGGGGTCGCCCTTTTAAGACGCTTGGAAAAGTGCAAACCTTATGAGTGTCCTTTCAGTTTTCGATGGAAGCACCCGGGAAGTGGCCCACGTTCTTCCACGAACATGATGATGCGGAGTAGTAGTGTGACTACAACTTCTGGTGTGGTTCATACGATGATAGAAACGCATACGGTCAGCATTTCAACTACTCCAGCGTCTACCACTAGAACTTTGATTACAATTACGACTACCACAACTACTACGACGACTATTGCTACTACTACTACCACTACTACTACTACTACTACTACTACCACTACTACTACAAATACTACTACCAATACAACGACGACTACTAATAGTACGAATACTATTATCATTGGTATTACCAATGTGAGTATTAAACAACCACGAGTACGGCGAAGGCGACGACGGCGACGACGACTACAAGTACGACTACGACTACGACTACGACTACGATTACGACTACGACTAGTAGTAGTAATCATAGTAGCCGCAGTAGTAGTAGTAATAGAAGTAGTAGTAGTAGTAGTAGTAGTAGTAGTAGTAGTAGTAGTCGTAGTAGTCGTGTAGTAGTAGTAGTAGTAGTGTAGTAGTAGTAGTAGTAGTAGTAGTAGTAGTAGTAGTAGTAGTAGTAGTCGTAGTAGTCGTAGTAGTCGTAGTAGTCGTAGTGGTACTTCTTGTTGTGGTAGTAATGGTGGTAGTAGTAGTAGTAGTAGTAGTAGTAGTAGTAGTAGTAGTGGTGGTGGTAGTAGTAGTAGAAGTAGCAGTCGTAGTAGTAGTACTAGTAGTAGTGCTACTACTACTGCTGCTATTGCTGCTACAGCAGCTGTAGCTACTACTACTACTACTGCTGCTACGACTATTATTGCTACTGCGACCACTACTGTTACGACTACTGGTACTACCACTAGTACTACTACTATTATTTCCATTTCTGCGACTACTACTCGGACTACATTTATTATTTTTGCCACTACTTTTGCTATTGCTATTACTGCTAGTCTGATTACTACCACTACTACGTCTAATACGACTACTACGATTATTGCGATTTCTTCTATTTGTGCTAGTCCTACTACAGCTACAACTACTACTGCCACTACTACTACTACCACTACTACTACTACTACCACGACTACAACTACTACTACCACTACGACTATTACTACTTCTACTACTGCTACTACTAGTGCTAGTATGAGTACTACTACCACTACTACTACCACTACTACTACTACCACTACTACTACTACTACTACTACTACTACTACTACCACTACTACTACTACTACTAAAATTAATATTACTACTACGACGACTACTATCACTATTCTCACTACTATCACTACGACATCTGCTACTACCAGTACTACTACTACTACGACTACTACTACTACTACTGCTACTACCGCTACTACTATTAATTCTATTCATACAACTGTTACTACTACTACTACTATTATTATTATTACTACTACTACTGATACTACTACTGCTACTGCTACTGCTACTGCTACTGCTACTGCTACTGCTACTGCTACTGCTGCTGCTACTGCTGCTGCTGCTACTACTACTACTACTACTACTACTACTACTACTATGCTACTGCTACTGCTAGTACTACAACCAAGCATCTTGAATTTGTTTCTCTCTCTCCGAGCGATTACTGGGAACGACATCGTACCCATCATCCTAAACCATGTCTTCAGCAATGCCCAAAGGCATGTCTTGAGCAAGATCTTTAAGCATATACACTGCACACTTGCACCAACAGAATCTTTCACAATTGCGGAATCATCGTCCCAAGTTGTATGCAAACTAGCCCGACGTTTGTGGCCATTTGGGTTTTGGCATTCGGCCGTTTCAGAATACACGTTGGTCGCTGAATCTGGCGCTTGGGATTGCGCCCTCGACGCCGCGCCGCGGCGGATACGCGGAGAGTGTCTCCTTGGCGTCAGTCATGCGAGCGCGCGCGAGGAAGGCAGACGGGGCCGTGGCGGAAAGACCGTGGAGGAAGGGCGAGAGCGAGTGGCAGCGCTTCTTACGACTGGCCGTCGGGGGAGCAGGGTCCCAATCTCGCCGAGCTCGGATCCAGACGACGAGGATTGGAAGGGGGTCCGCGACGGGCATATCGCCGCGTGAGTCACCCCCAAGGCGAGGCTGCCACCTGCGGTCAGAAAAGCCGACGGTACGAACAGGTTCACGGGCGGCCGCGTCCTCGTGCGCAGCCCGGCCACGTGCCACGGCTTCAGGGACGAGTGAGGCGTGTTCAGGCTTCTGAGGACACTGCGACGCCATGCTTCCAGAGCAGCAGCTCGATCGTCGCACGCGAGCGCGTTGCCAAACCATGGGCGGCGATTTCCCGCCGACGTTCGTTACCATTATCCCGGGCCCCTCGCGCAGGTGTCACTACGCGTTCTTCGGGTGCCACGTGGACAAGCAGCGCGGCGACGCGGAGTACTGTCTCAGGCCGGGTACCTCCGGCTTGAAGTCCGAGTGGCCCAACCAGAGGAGCGAACAGAAGAGGGGTCGCCGACGTTGCAGACAAAGTCCGTCGAGCATGCTATGGAAGCGCAGCTCGCCAAGAACAGGGATGGGCCAGTGCCCCCCTGCGTCAACCTGGCTAAGATCTACGAGGCCATCCTGAAGGACGAACGTTTCGGAACTGTAGCAGACTTCACGATTGCCCTCGGCGGGGATGCCATATGATTCGCGTGTGCCCGCGCTGCAGGACGACTCCCCTCAAGCCGAGGGAGTGGGTGCGCTGCGTGGTGTCGACGCAACAGGGCGAGCCAGGTGGTGCCACCACAGGAGGCCACTGGAGGTGCGCGCGCAGGAGCTGCGGCCGCAGGTCGTCGGAGAGTTCCGCGTTCTCATTCCTCAGTCGTATTCCATCGTCGAGAAGGGCGGCGTGGACTTGGCCGGCGACGGGGTAATTGAGCGCGTCGGGTAGACCCAGGACTACAGCCCGACGGAGATGGTCTATTTCGGCCGCGGCAGCCTGGGGCAGGAGGGTGTCCTGAAGGTGCTGGGGGCGGCCAAGCTGGTGTCCGCCATTTGCGCCGTTCAAGGGGACAAGATCCTTTTGGGTGGATTGTCGCAGAGGAAGCTCGGTGCGGTCATGGGCGCCATCGATGCCATCAACGAGGAAGCGTGCAACAATATCATGGAGCACATGCCCGCGTCCTCGGAGGTGAGGATCACAGCGGATGAGCTCGGGGACTTGAACGTCCGCGCTTGCTGCAAGGACTCGCCCCTCTTCCAGGGCAAGTTCACGGGCGACTGCCGCGCCTTCAGTCCGCCCTTGGGCTTTCCCATCCTTGCCTCGGCGGACCGCGATCAGGCGCTCGACTGCCTGCTCCCGTTTTTCGATGTCTCGGGCTCCGCGGGAAACTCGACGGCCGAGGCGGGCAAGGGGGGGCGCGTGTTCGAGCGCCGGCACTTGGCCGCAGGGGGCTTGATCGAGCGCCGCATCAAGCTGTGGACGAGAAGGTGCGGTGGGGCCCGCCGAGGCGCTCGGGCGTCGGCGGCGACGGCGCCCCGTGCGACCCGTCGGGGCGGGGCCGTCGCGCAGGAGGAATGGCCGCCGCGAAGCCTGGGGCAGCGGGCTACCGCGAGGCGACGGCGCGCCGCGTTCCCAGCTGACCGCGAGGCTCGGGCGGCGCGAGGGCATGCGCTTGCGCGCGCGACGCGGGGCTCCACGCGACCTTTCGGGACGGCGCTTGGCCGGCGTGGGCGTGTGAGACGGCCGCCGCGCGGCCTGGGGTGCGTCGGGGGCTGCGGTCGCCTTGTGCCGGGGCCCGCGTCGGCCTTGGGCAGGAGGGCCCTGCGCGGCTGAAAAGCACCTCGTTAATTATCTTTTGGCCTTGCTGGAGGTCGGGGGGGCGCGCGCCTGCGGGTTCACCCCGAACCCGCGTCGACCGGAGGGCGCCCTCCCACCGCGGAGGCGCCCTCCGGTTCGCGCGCCCTCCCCTGCCGCCGCGGGCGGGGAGTGGGCCCCCGACGGGGGGGCACGCCCTCGCGGGAGGGTTGGGTCGCGTGGGGGGCGGGCCCGGCTTCGGACCGCGCGTTGCCCTTTTTTCGTTTGTCCCATTGTCGCGCGGTCGCAGGGTCGTCAGGGGGCTTCCGCCTGAGCCTGTCAATGCGCCCGTGGGAGGATAATCCCGAACCCCCGTCGACCTGTGGGCGCCCCCCCGCCGCGAAAGCACCAGCCCGCTCGCGCGCCCTCCGCTCCGCCGCGGGCGGAGGGGGGGTCTTCGGCGGGGCGCGCGCCCTCGCGCAGGGGGTGGGTCTTATGATGGGCGTGCAGGGTATCGGGCTGCGCGTGCTTTCCATTTGTCTGATCGTCGCGTGGTCAGGGCGGCGGGGTCGTCGCGGGAACTGCAGCCGCCTGGTGCTCGGGGGCCATGGCCACGCGGGCCTCCGGCGTGGTCCGTGTGGGCGCACCTCGCGGGCCGCTCCCTCTCGAAGCGCGCATGCCTCGCGGCGGGTCTCGCGGGCATTCGTGCTCGGCGCGGCCCGTGCGCCCGCGAGCGCGGGGCGGCTCGCCGGCGCGCCGCCGTGGACCCCTGGGCGGGGTGCGAGGGCGGGCTCGCCCGGGTCGCCAGAGGAAGGGTGGCGTGAGGACGCCGAGGAGACCTTCGGTTTCGAGCTCACCGAACGCAGCCTGGACAGTGACAGGTGGGCAAGGGTTGCGAGAGAGGCTTTCAGAAACGCAACTGCTGGGAAGTGCCGTGCCACTTCATGGGGGGGTCGAGGACAGAGGCGCGCCAGCCCGCGGAGGAAAAGGCCAGGCCCGTCTCCTGCGCGCCCGCTGGACAGGTGCTGCGCAGACAGAGGGGGGCGACGCGCGCGGGGGCCGCGCGGGCGCGGGGGGGCGGGCTGTGCCGACGGCCGGACGACGCTGGTAGAGCCCCCGAGGATTGGAGGGGGGCCCGAGGGGGGCCAGGTGGCCCGAGGGGGGCCAGGCGGACCAGCGCCCTCTCCGCTCCGACCATTTTATTCAGGTAGAGAGAGAGGAAGAACAGGCAGCCGCCAACGACGGCAGGGAGGCGGCGGGTGAGACGGCGACAGCGGCGACGACGTGATAGACGACCGACGGGACACCCGCAGCGACGCGACCAGCGACGGCGACGACGGCGACGAGGGAGCTGCCGCTCGCGAGATGCGGGTGCGGGGCGGCGTCTGGGGCGCGCCGCGCCCAGTCCCGCGCGGAGCGTGGGCACAGAGGCGCAGCCCTGCAGGTGACACCAGGGGCCAAGAGGCCCAGAACTGCAAGAGATGCAACAAGACGCGAGTTACAGACGCTGTGTCCAAGAGGGCCCTGCTGCCCAGAGGGGGTAAGGTAGGCATGGGGAGCCCGGTGTATATGCCCCTGGGAAGCTTTGCAGAAGTCACACAGCCAATGTTTCCCCAAGAGGAGGAGGAGGAGGAGGAGGAGGAGGAGGAGGAGGAGGAGGAGGAGGAGGAGGAGGAGGAGGAGGAGGGAGGAGGAGGAGGAGGGAGGAGGAGAGGAGGAGGAGGAGGAGGAGGAGAGGAGGAGGAGGAGGAGGAGGAGGAGGTCGCCTCCTTCTTCCTCCCCTCCCTTCCTCTCTTCCTCCCTCTCTCCCTGCCTCCCTCCTCTTTTGCCGTGGCGTGCGTGCCCAGTCTGCCGCGACGGGCGCGATCCGGGCGCGCTCCGTCCGCCTGCAAGGGACAGGCGCTTCAGAGCTCTGCGAGGTGCCTTGCGGTAGCCAGGTTGACGGCGTCTCTCCAAGAAGGAAACGCTATAAACAAAAATTTTCGGAGCTCCGCGCGGGCCGTGCGGACTTCTTGGCTCTGCGCTGGCCAGGTTGACGGCTTCTCTCCAAGAAGAAAGCGCTATACACAAAAATTTTCGGAGCTCCGCGCGGGCCGTGCGGACTTCTTGGCTCTGCGCTGGGCCCCCCCTGGCGGCGCTTCCGGCGCCGCCCCTGGCGCGGATCCGAGAAATCTGCGCGGACTTCCAACAGTTTATGTTTATGCAGTTTTTTCGTCCTTCCATTACTGCTGGTTCGCAGTTGGCCAGAAAATCTCGACGGACATTTTGGTGACGCTTGCTTGGTGCCGGGATAGCCAGGCGTTTCGTCGCAATGCTGCCCCGCTCCTCCCAGGCCTCCGACGTCGTGATCTGTTCACAGCGTGGGCTTCCAGGGGCCTCGACGCACCATGACTTTTTCCTCGACCCATCGCGGGTGTGCAGTTCGCAGTGTGCTGCTAGCGCGGGCCTGCAGGGGGCCTCTGAGATTAATGGCTGCGGAGGTGGGGAAACGCTGCTGCAACTCCGCCCATCCCGCCTGCGCCGAGCTGCGCACGCCACTATCTGGCCCTGAACTGAGCTCAGAACGATCTTCGAGGGATGCTCGAAGATCCTGCGACGAAAGCTCTACATATCCACCGCTCCGTGGCCAGGTGCATCCTGAACCCAGGAGCTGTGTGCACGCCCTCCTGGCCAGGCCAGGAGGGCCTTTTGAATACACCGCTGCTGGGTTCAGGATGGGCCCGTCCGGGGAGCGGTGGATCTGTGCAGCCCTCGCCGCCCCCGAAGACGGGGGGCGCTGGCCTCTGGAGGCCTCGACCTGCTCCTCGTCCTCCTCCTCCTCCTCGTCCTCCTCGTCTTCCTCCATTCCTTTCCCCTTATGAATAATTTCTCCTTGTCGCACCCCGAGGCCATTTTTTAGGGCGGGCCGGGCGTTTCGCCTGAGACTTTATTTTTTAAGGATTCTGAAGCGCAACAAGTGGCAACAGTGTCACAGATGGAGGGCGGGTGGTTTTCAAAACGTGGTTCTCGCCTTAGCGCGGCGCACATTCGTTTTGAAGAAGTGCAAGAGTTTCGCGGATTGAGGGCGGGTCGTTTTCGAACTGTGCCTCTCGCTTTTGCGCGGCGCACACTCGTTTTAAACATTTGCAGGAGTTTCGCGGATTGAGGGCGGGTCGTTTTCAAACTGTGGCTCTCGCTTATGCGCGGCGCACACTCGTTTCAAGAATTTGCAAGGGTTTCTCGGATTGAGGGCGGGTCGTTTTCAAAATGCGGCTCTTGTCTTAGCGCCGTGCGCATTCGTTTTCAACATGTGCAAGAGCTTCAAGGATTGAGGGCTGGTCGTTTCCAACCTGTGGCTCCCGCCTTTGCGCGGCGCACATCCGTCGGTGGCTCTCGCCTTAGCGCGGCGCACATTCGTTCCCAACGTTTTCACGAGCTTCACGGGTTCCCATCACCAACGTACCGGAAATTTTGTTTTGGAAGGATTCAGGGTTTTGCGGGTGCAGCAGTTACATGTATTCCTTGTGTTGAAGTCCTTGGAATGGCGTTCCGGCACGATTCAGCATCGTCGAGACGCAACAGTCAGGTTGATCCGTGGCGTTGGACTCCCGAGAACAATGTTTTGGCATGTTTCAGGGTCTTCAAACGGGTGTCTTCCAACGAGGCAGTTCCATCAATGGCAATGAGCCGTTGTAGGGGCCTATGAAGAGGGAGCTTGGAGGGAGGGTTTACTCCAACATCGTTGATGACTCTTGGGTTTACACTGGTCCTCCTCCTCGTCCTCCTCCTCCTCCTCCTCCTCCTCCCCCCTCCTCCTCCTCCCCCTCCCCCTCCTCCTCCTCCTCCTCCTTCTCCTCCTCCTCCCCCTCCCCCTCCTCGTCCTCCTCCTCCTCCCCATCCTCCTCCTCCTCCTCCTCCTCCTCCTCCTCCTCCTCCTTCCTGAGAGCTGGAAGGAGGGCGGCCTCCCCGCCAGGAACGGGGAGGACGGCGAGGACGGGCAAGGGGCCAACGGGAGCGACGCACCGAAGACGACGGCGATGGCGACGGCGACGGCGACAGCGACGGCGACGGCTACGGCGACGGCGACGGCGACGGCGACGGCGACGGCGACGACGACGACGGCGACGGCCACGGCGACGGCGACGGCGACGGCGACGGGATCGTCCCCTCCTCCGAGCCTGTCCTCGGAAACCCTGGAGCTCGGAAGGGCCCCCCCCCCCCGAGGCGGCGAGCCGGCGGCCTCCTCCGATGGGGGGGGGGGAGGAGGCTCAGAGGGGGGCCTCCTCGGCAGGCGGCGGGGCTTCGGGGCCGGCCTGGGAGGCTCCTCGGAAGGCCAGGGGGGCCTTCCGAGCTCGGGGGCGGCCGCACGAGGGAGTGACGACTAGGGTTAGAAGGCGCAGGGTTCGCTAGGGACTGGCTTCCTCCCAGAACAACCCGAACCCTCCCCGAAGCCTCCGACCCTCCCCCCCCCCCCCCAGAACCCTTCCCAGAGGGTTTTCGGAGGGCTTCGGGAGGGTTTCGGTTGTTTTGAAACCAGTCCCTAGCGAACCCTGGACTTTCGAGGACCAGGGTCGACCAAAAACCATCGACACCACCCCACCGACGGCCCTCCGCGTTGTGCCGCGGCCCCTCGGGGGCCGCAGCGGATACCACGCAGAAGCCCAAGCCGTAGCTCGTGGCAGATGCGGATGCTCGCGGGGCCGCAGGTTTGGTGGTGCCCCCTGTTCTTCTGGTCCATAGGGGTGTGTGTGGGGGGGATCTTGGTCTTCTGGTTCTGGTCCTTTGGGTGGTGCCGCGTTTGCTTCTTTCCGTATCAGCGTCATGTTTCACCTCAAGCGGCTTCTTTTGGGTGGGGAAGAAAACGGCTTTCAAGTGCAACCGGCACTCACGTTACGACGGTGGTTCTTGAATCTCGCGGTCCGCTCCCCCCCCAACAAATAGGGGTGTGGGTGGGGGGATTTCATGGCGGGGGCCATGACGATGCCCCACATTTCATGGCGCCTCCTCCTCTGTCAGCGCGCCTCCTGGTCCCCCCCCCCCCCTGGGCCGCGCGCGTGCCTCGGGCCATGCTTTGGGGGCCATGACACCTCCCCGCCTTTCCTGGCGCCCGGAGGAGGAGGAGGAGGAGGAGGAGGAGGAGGAGGAGGAGGAGGAGGAGGAGGAGGAGGAGGAGGAGGGGAGGAGGGGGAGGGGGAGGAGGAGCCCCCTCTTGTGGCACGGCGTCTCCCCTGGGCCGCGCACGTGCCCCGGGCCACGAGCTGCGCACCGCCTCCTCGGACACGCCGCCCACTCTGGACGCCCCGCCGGGGAGCCTTCGAGGGGCCCTCCGCCCCCTCTCTCGGGCGCCCCTGCGGTGGCCTTCGGGTGTCCCCCAGCCCGGGCTCTCGCTCGGGACCGCCCGCTGGGCGCCCCGCGGAGAGCGCTCTCGGCGAGGTGCCGCCGCCGGAAAGCAGCCCGAGGCCAGATAACAGCGCCGAGAGCCGACGGGGACGCCAGAAACAAAACAAATATCACTCGAACCTCGAACGTGATCGTTTTCTCATTCATTTTTTTGCCGATCGGCGGGGGCCCTCGCACCCCCCCTCCCCTCCACCGTGGAGTAGATCGTGGCTGTTGTTGGCGCCTGTTTCGAGCAGGTGGAGCCTCCCCCAAAGGATGCACTGTTGCAAAGACGGTCGCGTGAAGCAGAGGTCCGGAGCCAGAGCCCCCCCACCCCCGGAGCCCCCTCCACCCCGCCCCTCCCGCACCATGCCGACACGCCGAGCAAGGAATTCATTCACAACCCGCAGCTCCCGTTCGCGTGTGGGGGCGACGCGCGCAGACGCGTGCACCAGAAGTGCCGAGGAAGCACCAGGAGCCGGCAGCAAGACGTGCGGGAGGAGGAGGAGGAGGAGGAGGAGGAGGAGGAGGAGGAGGAGGAGGAGGAGGAGGAGGGGGGGAGGAGGAGGAGGAGGAGGAGGAGGAGGAGGAGGAGGAGGAGGAGGAGGAGGAGGAGGAGGGCTCCAACCCCAGCGCCGAGAGGACACGCTCGCCGCCCGAAGCTCCCGCAGCCTTCCGCCCGGGCGCCCCCGCCGAGCGAGGAGGCCCCGGGCACCCGGGGGCGGCCCGAGGCCGCGACGCTGCACAAGCGCGACCCGCGGTGGCGCGACTGGCGGCCCGCGGCGCGGCGGGTCTTCGCCCAGCAGGCGCGCCAGCAGCAGGAGCGGGCGCCGGCCAGGCAGGGGCAGCCAAAGGAGGGAGTCTCTCTAGGCCTCCCGGACGGGTTCGGAGCAGATGGTCCAGCAGTGGCGAAGCGTCCTGGCTCGCCTATATAGCCCTACCAAACAATGTTCTAAGAGCCTTTTGTGGTTTCCGCGGAATGTTCTTAGAACAGTTCCGGCTGGGACTGCCTTGCTTTATCACATCGGGTTTATGTTCCAAGAACATGGTTTTATTCTTAGAACATCTTTGGCATCTAAGAACATTTCGTGGTAGGACTAGGAATGCCGGGACGGTCGGTCCCTGCTGAAGGGGGTCGGAGGATCTCGCGCCGCATCGTCGATGCATCGACGATGCGGCTCGATGTGGAGACTGTGTTTCCCAACGCCGACGTTGCCGATGCATCGCCGATGTATCGCCGATGCGGTGTGATCCTCCGACCCCATCTGCTCGGACCCCGTCTAGGAGGCCTCTAGGACTCTAGGGAAAGGTATCCATGCCTCTACCCTTCGCCCTGTTTTTCCCTTTTCGGACCTCCTGGGAGGCCCTCGTCGCCACCGCTGGATTCGCCTCGAAATGCTGGTCAGAGCGCACCCCGGGAGAGGTCTGGGGAGTAGCGGTATCGGCACCTTTTGGTTTCCCCAGGCAGGGTTCTTTTCGATTGCTCCGATCCGGTTCGACTCGATGCCGATGGCTTCCGATGCCGATGCGCTTCGGCTTCGGATATCCTGATCTGGGTTCAGGTTGCTCAATGGAGGCCAACCAGCCTGCCGATTTTTCCGCCGATTCGACTTCTCCCGGCTCGTCTGCCGATTTCCGCCGATCCGATTCGTTTCGAGCGACGATCCGGCCTATCGATTCGATTCTGGGCTCTCCTGAGGGGCGCCAGACAGGTGTGGGCCCGCGATGTGCATAAGCGCGCTGTGCGTGCATGTGTACACCTTAGGCGATGCTCAAGAAAACTTAAGATTTCGACCAGAGTCTCGATTATTCTTAATGTTTCAATGTAAATCCCAAGATTTTAATAGAAATGTTGGGTTTCTGAGACTATGAATCTCTTAACCCATGATTTCTTAAGCATTTCGCAGGGTGTACATCGATATATCTCCATTGGTCAGAGGTTGCTGCCATGCCAGCTGGCGTCTGGAAGAGCACGGGCGCGAGAGTACCGCCGCTCTCGCAGGTGCGCGTCGCACGGCTTCAAATAGTAAGAACAACAGTAACACATCGACCCTCGGTCGCGAATCGAGGATCGAGGATCGAGGATCGAGGATAACAGTAAGAACAACAGGTCGAGGATCGAGGAGCGAATCCCAGGTCGGGTCTGAATCCATGGGGGCGGATGACCGCGCCGCGTCGCCGACGCGTTGGCGATGCGGCTCGATGCGGAGCCCGATATTCTCCACGCCGGCGTCGGCGATGCATCGCCGACGTCGCCGATGCATCGCCGACGACGCCGGTGCTTCCCGATGCATCGCCGATGCATCTGCGACGCGGGCTCCTGGAGGCTCCTTGTCAGGAGGAGGAGGGGGGGGAGAAGGAGGAGGAGGAGGAGGAGGAGGAGGAGGAGGAGGAGGAGGAGGAGGAGGAGGAGGAGGAGGAGGAGGAGGAGACTTGTCGCCATGACTGCCTCCGCGTCGAGAAGCGGGGCAGGATGGACCCCGGGAGGGATCCGCGGCTCGATTTTGAGTTGATTTTTGGGCTGGGCGGGAGCGCCGCCGTCGTCTCAACCAGCCCTGGTTGGGGAGGAGGAGGAGGACGAGGAGGAGGAGGAGGAGGAGGAGCAGCAGGAGGAGGCAGGAGGAGGAGGAGGAGGAGGGGAGGAGGCGGAGGCGGGAGGCGGAGGCGGAGGCGGAGGCGGAGGCGGAGGAGGAGGAGGAGGAGGAGGAGGAGGAGGAGGAGGGAGAGGAGGAGGGAGGAGAGGAGGGAGGAGAGGAGGAGGGAGAGGAGGAGGAGGAGGAGGAGGAGGAGGAGGAGGAGGAGGAGGAGGAGGAGGAGGAGGAGGAGTGGGGCTTCGAGAGAGCGCACCGCTCAGATGCCTGTTCAGGGGGCCATCCTGGGGACCACCTGACGGATTTGTTCAGCTCCAGCTTGAGGTCGGGCCTGTCCCTCTACAGGGGGAATCTGCAAAAATAGTCAAAAAGTAGTCTGGGGACGATGTTTGAGTATCTGACTCGGGTCGACGGGCGTTCGACGCAGCACCGGCGCGCGAGCGGGGCGAGTAGCTCCAGGAAGGCCCCCAGCGTTCTCGACATCACAGCGGCCTCGCGCGCTGGGGGACAGATTCGTGTGCGTGGCTGGGTGCGTGCGCCCTTGTGAGGCTCCCTGGCCAGGGGGGTGCATCTGCCCATGTAAGCTCGGCGGCGCGCGGGAGGGGGCAGGCCAGGGTGCCCGCGCTTCGGTCGGTCTGGCTGCTTCGCAGTCGGCTTCGCTGGGTCGGCTCGGTTCGATTTTGGTTGCGGCGCCGCTGCGTCCTTTTGTGGGCCGCTTCCGGCCCGTCGTTTTTTCGGCCGCTTTTTCGGTTCTGCTCTCGCTTCGCTCGGTTTTTTTTGTCGCTTCGGTCGTCGCCGCGGACGCCCGTGGCAGTGCACTCGGGCCTTGGGGGCTCAGAGCCTTAGCCTCCAAGTCCCGGGTGCCCTGCCTGAGCCTCCAAGGCCCGAGTGCCCTGCCTGAGGTTTGGAGGCTCAGAGCCTCAGCCTCCAAGCCTCGATCCTCGATCCTTGGCAGGCCTGAGCCTCAGACCTCCCAGGGGTCGATCAGCCACGCGCAGAGGGGGGTGAGGGGAGGGGGGGGGGCTTCTTAGAAGCACCCCTGCTTCTTAGAAGGCGCGGGCCTTATCTAGAGATGCAAGGCCGGCGCCTTCTAAGAAGCAGCCTCCTTCTGAGAAGCCCTCCCCCCTCCCTCCAGCCCCTTGTGCGCGCCGCCAAGTCGAGGACCGAGGTTGGAGCATGCGCGGTGTGAGGGTCGGGTGCTCTTGGGGTGGCCACCTCCTTGAGCCTCCCGGCCACGGCTGGGTCCGCCGCGAAGGCTTTGGCCAAGGTGCGCCCTGGCAAGGGCGCCGGGGACGAGGACGAGGACCGATGACGACTAGGGCCGACGACGACGACGACGAGGACGACGACGAGGACGACGAGGACGACGACGACGACGACGACGAGAACGACGACGAGGATCGCTGAGGACGAGGACCGCTGAGGACGACGACGACGACGACGACGACGCGCGCCCACGCGCCCGCGCGGGCGGCTGGGCGGCGGAGGAAGGAGAATGAGGACGAGGACGCCTGAGCCCCGAGCCCCCGAGCACAACCCCCCGGGGCGGGCGTCCCGAGAAGGTGAGGGCACAGCCTTTCCATGGCTTTTTGTGTTGTCGGCGTCTGGAGGCCACTTCTGGGCCCCGACGGGGGCCGTCAGATGCTACGGCCCGGGGATCTCTTACGCTCCCCAAGGGCAGAAACAGGGACTTCACGCAAGAGTGACCTTTCGTCGGAGTGCCCTTTTGGTGCGGGCACACTGGGGTCTCCAGAGGATTGAACGCGATGCGATGGCAGCGTCTGTCGCGCTCGGGCTTGGCCTACCCTCGGCCCCGGGAAGTCGCGCACAAGATGCCATTGTTGCCTAGGGTCACTGTTGCGTGTAGCCGATGCGAATGCGCGCCACGTAAACGTCAAAATGCATATGTAGCGGATCAGGGCTCAAGGGCCTTCAGCTCGGCTCAGGGCTTTGGCTCAAGGCCGGGCCATTGGGTCCGGGTCGACGCTGCTGGGGATGGCCGACCTCTTTCGCAAGGTTGGTGGCCCGCCCTCGGGGGGCGGCGGCGACTGGATAGGGTGGAAGCCCCGCAGTGTGGAGGAGACCGTGGACGCCGGCGTGCACCCCGTCGTCGCCAAGATGCGCATGGGGACGTTCGGCCTGGCGAGGAACCCGGACGGGATCGACCTGCGGGCGATGCCGTGGGACAAGGGCCGCGAGTGGGTCCACGGCAAGGAGGTGCAGCCGGGGGGCTACACCTACAACCGGCGGAACACGGCCGCCAGCCTCGGCGGGGAGGACACCGACCCCAAGAGGCAGCTGGAGCGGCTGTCGGCCCAGGGCGTCAACCCCCAGGACTACCTCAAGATGGCCAAGCAGCTCGGCGTGCACCCGGAGGAGGGGGTGCTGGGCAAGCCCGCGGACGTCTCGCTCCCGTCCTCTAAAGACCTGCGCGGCGGCAAGGGGGACAAGAGCAAGAAGAAGCACACGAAGAAGAAGAGTAAGAAGCAGAAGGGCGACAAGAAGTCGAAGAAGAAGGCCAGCAAGAAAAGGAAGAAGAAAGATTCTTCCAGCTCCTCGAGCTCCTCGAGCTCCTCCGCGGAAGGGAGCAGCAAGAGCGGCAGCAGAGGGAAGCGGCAGAAGGGGGGCGAGGCCAGCGAGGCGGAGGTGAACGATGCCGGCGAGAAGAGCTGCTCGCGGCAGGCAGGCGCAGGCGACGATGGTGCCGTTCACATGGAGGGCTCTCCAGGTTCCCTCTGGCTGGCGCGCGGGGAGCGCTGCCGGAGGGGCTGGCGAGATGTGGGCGCGCCGGAGAACGCGGTCATGCTGGAGCCCGCGCAGCCAGCTGTCGTGGTCGCCGCCGTGTCCGCGGACCGCTGGGAGGAGGGCGGCCAGGCCGGCCTCTACGCCATCGCGGACGACCTCTGGTGGGTGAAGCTCACGGTGGAGGCCACGGGCGACGGCTGCAGGGTCGTCTTCGCCGAGCAGCACATGGGCGTCCCCTTCGTGCGGGGCGCCGTGGCCCTGCAGCGCCCCATGGCCGCCATCGGGCTCGCGCTCTCCGTCCGCGGGCCGAGCGCCTCGGCCGAGTGGCGCGACGAGGCCGGCACCTGGCGCCCGGTGACGCGCGGCACGGGCTGGAGGGAGGCGGCGGAGCAGCAGGGGCACGAGCGGCCCGCAGACCCGCTGTCGCCCCTGCACGTCGGCACCCTCCGCGGCGACGACGAGGGCAGGGGAACCAACCGTGGCATAAACGCACAAACGGAACAGAAGCCCGGAGGCCCGCGCGGATGCCTCGGATCGGCGCCGGGCCCCCCCCCCGGCGGCGGCACCTCCGGCGCCGCCCCCTGGTGCGCTCCGCGCGCCGCGGGGCCCAGCGCCGATCCGACCACGGCAGGAGGAGGATGAGGAGGAGGAGGAGGAGGAGGAGGCGGAGGAGGCGGAGGAGGAGGAGGAGGAGGAGGCGGAGGAGGAGGAGGAGGAGAGGGAGGAGGAGGAGAAAGAGAAGGAGGAGGAGGCGGAGGAGGAGGAGGCGTGGGCCTTCGAGTCTTTTTGTGCTCGTGCCGCGCTTCGTTCCCCTGGCGCGGAGGTCCTCCGAGAGGGCCGTGTGCAGGCTGCCGCTGGGCTGGCGGGCCGCGCTCGTGACGGAGGGCTGGCCCGGCGCGGGGGGCAGGCCGCGCGTCACCTTCTCCGAGGTGGCGGCGGTGCCTGCCCCGGAGGAGGAGGAGGAGGAGGCGGGCCGGCCCGCGGAGGCAGCTGCTGCTGCCGGCGGGGGCGAGCTGGAGTTCTGAGCGCCGTGCCTTCTTCTGCTCCTCCTCCTGGCAGCTCTCCCTGCTCTCTCCTGCCTCTCGGCAGCGGCCACGGGTGGTGGTGGTGATGACCAGGGGGGGGGATATGTCACCGCACCTCTTCTTCTTCTTTTTCTTCTTCTTCTTCTTCTTCTTCTACTTTTCACGCGTACCCAGGTCTGCCCAGACTCATGGCGCCCTGAGATCTCCCCGCATTCGTGGCCTCCCCTGCTTCCTCCAGATGAGGCGCCATGGCATCTCCTCGGATTTCAGGGCGCCCCCTCTTGCTTTGACGCGTCCCCCGGCGCCCCCCTGGGCCGCGCACATGCT